CTCCTTCCGGATCTGATCCCCACGTTCTCGTTTTGCAGGTGAGTCCGGACCGCCGCACACGGATCTCCATCTCAGCAGCCCGGAATCGCCTTCCACCCGCAAGTGTTGCATCTCAGCTCGCCGGAATCGCCTGCCGCCTCGCCGGATCCGGTTACCCTAGGTTCGTTCTCGTTAACCTGCGTCCCAACTCTCCCTACTCATTGCCTCCGTACCGCGCCCCGCCGCCACTTTCCCAACGCCCCTTCCGTCCTTCGCCTCCGCCGCCGCCTCCCAAGATTCGAACCCCTAGCCGTCCATCGGTTCATAGGTTTTGTGGACCTATGTTCTCTCGCGCCCCTTTTGTTCTTATTCATTGTTTGTTTTGTGTGGTGGTCTACTTTTGGTTTGATCTGAATGTGGTTTTGCCATCTCAAATTTGTAACTCATGTTCAGGTTGTAGGTTCAATTGTAGTTTGGTTTCATTTTGTTTTATAGGGGTTGTCTGTGGGGGGGAGGGTACGCGGGGGATCCGAGCTCCCATGTTCATCTCACCTCCCTGGAGCGACATGCATAGACTCGTGGTGGACCCTTTTCTTTAAGTGTACCATTTCTCAATTTGGTTGTGGTAGTATGAGCAGTGCCTATGTAATCTTGTATTTCCTAACACTTGCCATTTGCTACTGTAATGGATCAATTGATGGGGAGTGCACCTTGCTTTAGTTGATCCTTTGATATTAGTGATGATTATATACCCTTCAAAGTCAAACAAAATACTCCTATTTCTTTGAAAAAGGTGAAAAGAATAGAAGCAGTGCATCTTTCTTAAGTTGATCGTTTGATATTTTTATGATTATACGCCCTTCAATGATTAAGGGCCTGTTCGGTGCACCCCTCCTAAAGTTTACATACGATGCAATGCGGCGCAATGCTTGCTAATTGCTAGCAATGGTGCATGTCATCATTACATACTTTGATTACTTTCTGCAGTGATGAAAACCTTCATATTTGTTTGTTCAAATTATGATTTGTCAACCTTAAAATATTATGACCTGCTTTTTGCTATTTCGTACTGCTTCACCTTGTCACCACTACTTCACATCATTTCAACGATGAGAGCAACTACTACTGCTTTTTTCTTGCTGCTTTTGTGTCTATGGTCTCGGATGCAAATTTAATATGACAATTAGTTATGTCGAAACACGAAATGGGTTGCCGATTTTTTGGGCCTGCTTTCGTATCTATGATTTCCCATTGTGCACATATATTTTCATTGACAATGTGTTTTTTTATTTCTTTCAGTGCACCGCTCGCAAGAGCTTCTCAACGCTGCCCACACTGGCAGCGTCCTCCACTTCATTGTGCTCTTCACCTAAAGCCAGGCACTACAACCTTCGTTCGAAACGTGCCAAGCGTTCTGCCAAAGCACGTCCGCATTTCTTTCGCCCTAACTCTCTTGTTTGTCATGCTAAGAGCTGCTGTTTTTTTGTGTCTATATTGCGTTCATGATACCCTACATTTTAAACATGGCAACAGATGTCCATGGATCATGCTTACTGGGATGACGCCACCGTGAGGACCTTTCTAGAACTAGTGATAGAACAGAAAAACCTATTGCACTGGAACCAGCGAGGCCTCACAACCGTGGGCTGGGCAAATGTGTATCCAGCATTCGGAAAGGCAACGGGGTTGTCATATGACAAGAAATAGCTGCAAAACAAGTTCAACGAAATGAAGCGGTCATATTTTCTTTAGTGTGACATGCAAACCCACACTGGCCTAGGTTGAGACCCGACTACAGGAGGCGTCACAGTTGACCCCTCGTTCTTTGAGGGTGGCAACGGGGTACTAAGTTCCACCTAATTCCTTTCTAACCCCCCCCCACTAACCAGTGCTAGGGATGTTCCCATTCTATTTATTCTAACCCTTGGATCCATGGCACACGTGCAGAAAAATAGCCAATCTGCTGTGGAACGTACCAAAATGCCCAAATGCCTTGACCTACTGATAACTCTGTGGGGACACACTCCCCGCGATAAGGGTTTGTTGCTGTCTTCTGGTGGCCATCATCGCGAGACGACACCCAGTAATGCCAGCAATGGTAGTCCACACTAGATATCACCGGACCCCGTAGGTGTCTAGAGTGTTGGTCAGTCCTCCAAGAGATCCACTAGGGATTTCTCTGTCAATAGCCCGCGCAGTAAGAAGAGTGCTTCCATTGATGAGTGCCTTAATGACCTGACCGACATCATTAAAGATCATAAGCTCCAGAAGGCCCGTACGAGCAAGCAGGAAGAGGAGATGGATAAAGTTGTGAAGATTATGAAAGAAGATGGTTTGGAAGAGTCTGATGTTGTTTATGCTCAGACTTTAATTATTTGCACGAACACACTGCACCGTAGGAACTTCCTTGGCATGGAAACAAAACAAGGCCACATCAACTTTGTGCAGATGTGCTGGGAGGATAGGAGGATGAGATCCAAGTAGATGTTATCCAAACAAGCCCTCCTACTGCGACAGTCTATGTTGTTTCACTTCCTACTACGTTGATGTTGAGCTGTATTGTGTCGTTGAGAACATTTGTTGAAGTTCCATCGTTGTAATGCGGCCTGTGGCCTAAACATTGTGTGCTGGTTTTTTTTCAAGTACCCAAATAAATTGTTTCTGTGTTGTAAATTGCTTTTTCCAACAGACATTTTGGTTTTTCATGTTTAGGACGAGGTAGATGTTGCAGCCATCATGGAGTCCCAAGGTACAAATCCTTCTCTACATTTGTTACACTTATGTAGAAAATTCAAGTATTTCTATTTCATTGAACTGGACTGAGTGATTAAAAATAAAGTTACTGGATTCTTGAAAAAACCTACCAGTGTTCAACATGTGAAGTGATAATATATCAGACTGGACATATAATATAGCTGGAAAGTAAAAATTGTGTTGTAACCTGAGCTTTCTAGTTTCAAGTTGTAGTAATATTAACTGCCTCATAATTTAGGACTAAATGTTGGTTTTGCGATGATGAGCAGCGAGGATTCCGCTAACAGCGATAGCTCAAGTGAAGGACCGCCCATTTTGAACTTGACGGTTGCTGCTATCCTGCTTGCAAAGTACAAATCAGTAGTAGCCAATGAGGCTCCTGTGGTGAACCCGGACCTCCCCTTCCAGAAGATGACCGGGCGACAGTGGATGGAAGTCAATCTATGAAACGAACGGAAGTGCTTGGACAACTTGCGTATATCTCCTTATAACTTGCTGCATTTGCATAACATTTTACTTGGATTTGGTCCGAAGGGTACACGACAGACAGGATCCCTAGAATGTTTAGGTATATATGTGTGGACTTGTGCGCACAACTAGGCAACTAGAAGGAGCAGGGATAGATTCGAACGGTCTTTGGATACAGTTAGTAGGAAGATGAGTCATGTCGCCAAGGTTATGTGTAGGTGGGCACACTATGTTCTTGTTCCAGCTGATTGCAGTTATGCTAGAGTGAAATGGCAACTTGGCACATATGCACCATTCTTCGATGGATGCATCGCGACTTTGGATGGCACGCACATCAAAGTTAAGGTGAATAAGGAGGCCAAAATTTACCATATAAATAGGAAAGGAGATGTAACTATGAATGTTTGTGCCATTGTGGATATGGATGGGCGCTTCACATATGTCGGTGTGGGGATGACGGGTTCGGTGCATGACATGTCGGTTCTTAAAGAATGTTGGGAGAAACCAAACTTCCCGCATCCACTAACCGGTGAGTGATGATTGCCAAGCAATTATGTGACCTACATCATTTTAGTTGCTTGTGCAAAACATAAAACCTAATTGTGCAATTGGTTAATGTGTTGTAGGCCGCTACTATCTGGTGGACGTTGGTTATGCACTGGTTTCAAAAATACAAGGTACCATCTGGATGATTTTAGTGGTGTACCTGTAGAGACTATGTTTCGATAGGAGAAATTTAACTTGACTCATTCTAAGCTACGCAATGTTATCGAACGCACATTTGGGGTTCTTAAAGGCCAGTGGCAGGTTTTTGATAGGGTACCGTACTGCCATAGGACCAAGCAAAAGATGATTATAATGTCTTGCTTTGCACTCCACAATTATTTGTTCATTAGGGAGCATGGGTTTGGATCCCCAACCTACCCACAGTCTCCCTGGGTTCAGCTCAATGCTAGTAACAGTACGATAGCAATGAGGGAGTTTTTATCTTTGGGGCTGTGGGGACAATGGTTGTGCAGAGGTGATGTAACTTCGGATGGGAAGTAGGTGATTTCAAGTTAGATGGGCTTTGGTTTGCATTAGTTATGTCTGATACTTGGTGGTGCATGCAGGCGCTGGTTTATGTTCAGCTACAAGTTGCATGTGGTCTTGTCGAGCCGAAGAGTTGTCCGTGCATTTTGCTTTGTGGCTTCGTGAAGGCTACAAGTTTGTAAATGTTGCTTGTATGCGTAATTGTATAACCTTGGCATGGTCCAATATGTAGGTAGTGCTATGTTGTATGAAGTTGTTGGTTGGAATGTTGAGTTATACTGTAATTTGTATAAGTGCCCAATGATGCCATTTCAATAACGTATGGACAAAAAACTATTTGCAGAGTTGAGACTCTACTTTAATTGTATGTGAGTGGCGTTGTAATGAATTGTTTTATTAAGCTGTTGGCATGTTACATGAACAAGGAACTGATGTAAGAGCTGGCCATGGCTGGTTTTTAGTGTCTGGTGTTTGATTTGAAATTGAATGATGTAAGGGCTGACCATGCATGATGGTTGGTGTTGCAATTGGCGCCATTTTTTTTTTTGAATTGAATGGTTGCCTGTTTGACTGAATTTATTAACTGTAGCAAAAATCAGCCGGTGGCACATTCAGCCAGCCGATTTGTATCAGCCGAACAAAGCCGTAGCGTATGGCACGACCAAGCTTCATGCTAGTAGCAAAATTCACCAGCAATCCAGCGAGTCAACGGCAGCGTATCTTCAATCTCCCAAGGTTTGAACGGAGGGGTACATCCCACATAAAGATCACGATTTCTTGATTTCCCACCGGCGACCCCGTATGACAAAGCCATCAGGTGCCTGCTCAGTGCCTTCCCAACTATCCACGGCAGCAGCTGAGCTCGGATCTCTGCGATGCCTTTTCCCTTTACCGACAATCCCACTGTCACTGGCGCTCCCACTTATGAGAGGATCATCAATACCACGAATGGTCCTCTCTGGTGTGGATGCGCTCACCCAATTATCATCCCGGCTTTGCCTACTAAACTTGATGTTCTTCTTCATTTTGTCAAAGCGCTTCTCCACTGGTCGCACTGCTTGGTTAACAGTGAACTTAAAATCTTTTATCACCTACAGAAAAAAAATGCAGGAGACGTCAAAGATAAATGGAAAAGGAGACATCCTAAATAAATCCCAATTAGACTCATGAAGTTTAAAGAGAACATATAATAGACTAATTATTTCAAGTGTGACCTGCATGTAAAAACTCACATATTCTCCACTGCCAATTACAAAGTCTCGAACGCTCGCTTTAATATTAGTTGCAACTATTTCATCTGGTTCCAACTGTGGAAGCCTCACTTTGGTAGGTCGACTGATATCCTTTACCTCATCAGGATCCACAGGATCAGAGGCGGCGTAGTCCCCAAGCACTGAAATGTTTGTAGGCGAATATTGTTTACCTAATAGCTCATAAGGTTTCGCAGGGAACACATACAGGTGAACAATTGATGCTATGCCCATCTGTGTTGGAGGAAGACATGAAATATGATAAGTAAACAAGGATAATTTTGAAAGCCTGTCTAACTTGAAAAGGGTGAGGTACCTCTATACAAATGATGAAATCCTGAATACTTGTTTTTAACTCCAAGCTCTGTGCTAACGGACTTCTAACCAAGCCCAAAGAATACATGATGGCAATTATCACACCCTGCCACCAGGTCAGGAAGACTATAGACTTGAAGGAAAGGAATTTAGCCAATGGCTGAATATGTGCCAATTCATCCTTAGTAGCTGTGTACCATTCCACTAAACAATATAGGGCCCAATATTGACTGAAGTTCAGGACTACAGCAAAGTAAGGGTATCTGCAGCACAGAGTGATTAAGATTAAATAATGCAATTTCCACAATTTATATATTGCAGAAAAGGAGTGTAATGCAAAATGGAAATATATTTTCTGAGGTTAAAGAATAGGCTATTACAGTTTGTAGAGATAGTTGATTCATCTTCTACATGAAAAAAGACATTTCTGTGAACCTTTTAAAGCATTTACTCCCTATGTCCCTAAATATGTGTCGTTTTCGTTTCCCGAGAAACAACTTTGACTAAATATATATTAAAAAATATTAATATTTATGATACATAATTAGTATCATTGGATAGATATTTGAATCTAGTTTTTTAATAAATTTATTTGGAGACACAAATGTTGCACGCATTTTCTATAAATCGAGTCAAACTTGTGGCACGCACACCAACGGCAACAGTTATTTAGGGACGGAGGGAGTATGCAACATCCTTCAAATAAACTATTTCAGTACTGCAGATATTCAATCAATAAGAAAAGGATGATTCTTTTCCTATGGGACTCAAAGAATTAGTGAAAATGCAAATTCTCGCTTGGACAAAGAAAAGTAAAGGTATCTGCAGCACAGAGTGAACAAAGCTAAACGTGCAATTTTCACCATTTATACATTGCAGAAAAGAACTGTAATGCAAGATGCACATATATTTCTGAGGACAGAGAAAAGCCTATCACAGTTCATACAGATAGAGGATTCATCTTCAATATGACAAAGAGATTATTACACATTTGGGTGTGCCTATCATAGTCTTTATCAACCACCCTTCAACAAAATAAACTATTTCAACACTACAGATATTCAATCGATGAGAGATGGATGGTTCTTTTCCTTCAGGGCTCAAGAAATAGTGAAATACAGAATTATCACTCTTACAAAGAAAAGGAAAACGTGTCTTACCCACATCCCCATTTGAATTCTCCATCGCAGTATACACCAAAAGGTTGAAGAATAAGAGACAAGCTAGCTGTGAGGGTCTTTATAATAACCTGCACATGTAGCAAATATTTAACTAAGTTGCTCATAAATTCAACTGTTCTGATTCAAATTAGATGGACAAGGGATCATACATATTGAAATATACCAAATTTGATAATCTGGTAAAAGCGCACACCGAGTCTCCATGGTTTCAATATGTAATTAATAGGAAAATGATGATGAATGACTCCCTTTTCGGAGACATGATGCAGAAGAGGTTCTCCAGAATCTTCGCCACCCACCCTCTTCAAAAATGCAATTGTCCTGTCCTCACCACCTATATTCCAATTGCAGTAAACAGTGAAACATAGTAAACAAGCAGCGGTAATTGAAAAGGAAACAGGGTAAGCTATACCAAATTCCAACTGTATACATTCCCCAGATGAAATAACATCAGAATATATAAAAAAAATCAACACAGGAGTATATCTACCTAACTGCTAACAAATCAGTCTCATATAATAATATCTTTAACAAGTCAATGCTTCTTTTGTTTTTCATCAAGAAGAAACCAATAAGCGAATAAGAACAGTGTTGGTATCCTATGAGTTCTAGATAGGATATGATCTCTTTTATAACCTAAAGAAAGTTGTATGAGCCACTGTTTAGTCCTTGGATGAAGAGTAGTGACTTCATCTAGTTGCATAGCATGAAAGATGATCTAACAAAGGCTTGTGATTTCAGAAAGGGAATTCTTAGAAATTCTACAGAGACCCTTTTTTCCAGATTAAACCACTGATAACAAGACAACAATAAGCTGTTACGTTTGAATAATCTACAGCACAGGCATGATGAAGCCCTTTCACACCTTAGATAGCCTCCATCCAAGCATGCTATTATACCAGTTGTTCAGGAATATAAACTGTGTCAAACATGTTCCAGTTTATGGATGTTACGTATGATATCTAAAAGAATAAATGAAACCATGCCTTGTTTTAAAACCAAATAGCTGCACTTTTAAGTGTACTTCATATCCATGACCCATGTACCCTTAAAAGGGAAAATAATATGTATCTAACAGCATTGATGTTACAGATTCATAACAGAAAGTGTACATCCAACCTTTAAGTATGTGTAACAATGCAAGCAACCTCAGAGGGTGGCAATTTAGAAGTTAAAATGTCTCTGAGGCTCAGGAAAAGAACTCACCTAAACAAGCAGTTATATATCTTCCAAAGCAATACATAGCAAATGCTTCATAGCCATCACGCAAGATGCCACAATAGACACTAGTGTCTGGATTTACCAATGAAACATACTGTTGCAGAGAAGTACCAAAGATCAACAAATAAGCAATTAGATGAGCTATAACCAATCAGCAAAGAGCTAGAAGTTGTTTTAGAGATATTACTGATTCAATAGCGTAGCAAGGGACCATCAAGATAACACCAAGAACAAATTTCTGTTCCTGCAACAGAGCAAACATGACAAGATGGATATTTGATCATTTATTTACAAACAATAAAAAAGGTCACATTATTGAGCATGTTGTGGTGGTAAAACAAACCTCTGGATTGTTGTATGCCGAGAGGTGCTCAAATATCAAGTACATCGAGAGAGAAACAGAAAGAAGCATAAAGAATCCTGATATGAGTATGGCCCATGTGGGCGCTGCGTATTTGTCCGTCAAGGGCAAAAGAAGCCCAAGATTGACCCTCATGGAAGCTGATAGCACTTTGTCGACCTCCAATGCTCTTAGTTATCAACATTATATAGCTACACGTTCGCTATAAGACTGAGCATGCCAGGAACACGGATCAAATTACAGTACAAATTGTGCTGATAGTTTACTATCTGCAAGACCATTGTATTAAGATATATTAGATAAACGATCAAAAGTTTAACAGATTAACAACATATTTCAGATGATAAATAGACTGCCAAATAGATTGATCCATTCACAGACAATTAAGGAATAGAATAGTCTTATGATGAGTAGTGATTTGCAAGTATGACCTAAGAGAAGCCACATTACCACTTGCATATAAACGAAAGATTTTTCTCACTCGAACTATTGAAAAGGTTAAATCTGAAAAATTCTCTTGGATAAGTTAAGAATCGCTAGTGAAGGGTCGGGCTTGGTGCAAGCGGTAGAGTCTTACCGCCTGTGACCGGAAGGTCCCGGGTTCGAGTCGCGGTCTTCTCGCATTGCACAGGCGAGGGTAAGGCTTGCCACTGACACCCTTCCCCAGACCCCGCACAGAGCGGGAGCTCTCTGCACTGGGTATGCCCTTTAAGTTAAGAATCGCTAGTGGTACAAAATGCAAGCTCAAATAAGCATGTCAGCAACCAATAGAACGTGACAAACTTAAGGAAATCATTGTTAGCAGCGTCGTTTCTATTCTTAGAATAACAGAAAAAAAAAATAGAAGTGTCATCCCCTGATGGTAACGCTCTCCTCACGGCTACGACAATCGACAAGCAATAGAACCATACTACAAACATATATATAGCTCAACCAACAAACCCGGTGAGATTATTTTCTGATGCGGAACCAGACGACAGATGTGATGAAGGCCCCGACCATGCGGACAAACAGCAAAACGCCAAACTCTCCAGTCGCGGGGGAAGCTACCTAAATCTCCATTCCACTGGAATCATCCTCGTGTGGGAAGAGCAAAAGGGGCTAAATTCCGCTCAAATCAGACCACGCGTATACTAACTACTAAGTTAGCTAGTTGGATGAGCTGAGAGAAAGGATTAGCCACGATTCGACTCGAAACCCTCAAGCGAAAGAGAAAGGATGAGCTGAATCAAGCACCTGAGCTGCTGCTGGGGTTGAAACAGCCTCGGGGAATCGAGACCAATTCGAAGAACGAACCGGGGGGCTCGGGCGGCGGCGGCGGCCGGAGGCGCCTTGCTTACTCCGCGACAGGAGGGGAACGGCGCTGCGCCGGCGTCTCGCGGTCGCCGTCGCCGTCGCGGCGCTGGTCAGGGCAAGAGAGCGGTGGGGGCTGATCCGCTGACGTGGCGCCGATAGCCTGGGGGAAGACGCGGCTCCGGCTGAAAAGTTGGGAGCCGGCACGGCAAGTCGGCGCTAGACAAGTGTGAAGAGGAGGACTCGGACCAGAACCAGACAATCAAATAAAAGGGAAAAACATTTTCCAAACAAAAAATGGAAAATGAGAGGCCGAGGCCAAACAAGAAATTTATCTAAATATAGAAAAATATAATTGTAGAATCATTTTATCCGCAATGTCATACAATAGTTTGCACTGAAGTGAAACTAACATTTTTTTTCCAATCTAGTGAATTCTGAGGCCAAAATGTGATACATAAGGTAATTCCTAATGATTTATTGTCCTAATCCCTTCGCGACAAGTGGGATGGGTGAAGACAAAAGTAGCAAGTGGTTTTAGCGCTTTCACTAGGGAGAGCCTCAATCCCCTCATCATCGACGACCACTTTGGCCACTAGAGAGGGGATCATGAATTTCTAGCTGGTGTGTAGATATAGATCTTACGTTTGCTAGGCATTTGGGATTCTTGACATCAATGGCGAGGTGGAGGTGGCGGCCATGCATTGAAATAATGTGCTCACGACCCTTCCTCTATCTCATAGGTACTTGCTCCGATGTCATTGCTAGGGTTGTGAGTTTGATGCCCCGCGGTTCTGGAACTTCATTACAATCTATGATTTTGCTCGAGCTTTGGTCCTGAGTTGTTTTGTTAGCGGGCACAGCTAGTGTTGGCTCCTGGCGATGTCAGCTCTGCTCTGCTGCGCTGTGTCCTGTGGCTGGTGGACCTAGACTTCCATGCTCCTTTCTTGGTAGCGTGCTCAAGTCCAAAACTAGGAAGACTTGAGGTGTGGGCTCGGCTGATGGACGACAATCAGACTTTTCTTCTTGTTCTGAGGAATGGGAGACTTTTGCGACTCCAACAAAGCATTGTTGCGATGGAGTTGTCATGGTTCTTGGGTGGTGTTACCATATCCACGTCATCAACTAGTGAATTAGCACCGCGTGTGGGTTTAGATGGTTTGGCACTAATAATTAGGGGATTTATACTCATTCAGGCAATGAGCCCTACATCTAGTTCGATGATGAAGCTCAAGTTTATAGTAGGGTCACGGTGTTCCAACCCCTAAGAGAGAGTCCCTGTCGGATGGATAGGGTGGATGTCCCATCGTTGGTGTCACCTTGTACAGAGCAACGCTGCCACGACAAACTCTACCGAACAATGCCTATATTTACTGTGTTTGAATCCAAGAGCTAAAGTTTAGTCGTGTCACATCGGATATTTGGATGCTAACTAGGAGGACTAAACATGAGATAATTATAAAACTAATTGCACATGAGTAGACTAATTAGCGAGACAAATCCATTACGCCTTAATTAATCCATAATTAGCAAATGTTTACTGTAGCACCACATTGTCAAATCATGGACTATTTAGACTTAATAGATTCGTCTCGCAAATTAACCTCAATCTGTGTAATTAGTTTTATAATTAGCCTATGTTTAATACTCTTAATTGGTATCCAAAAATTCGATGTGACGTGAGTGAACTTTTGCCCGAGGGAAACAAACACTGCAAAATGAAAGTAATATTTAATCTCAAGGACTAATGGCGTCTGTTCACCTGGCGGCCATCCAAAGTCCAAATATACTGCCACAGCCGCTCTAAGATTACTGCCTATATGTTTTCGATAATGACTAGACCCGGGCGTAAGTCCATCTGGACGGACCAACCCACTCGCACCGCTTGTCCACATCGCGCGCCACGCACCTCCGCCCCACTCTGCTCACTGCTCCTTCCACCAGATCCACTATGCAGTGAGAGATCCGGTGGTGGTGGGGACTGCAGCGCCGGATGTAGGGGTTGCGTGTCCTGCGTGGAGCCCAGGATACCGGTGGCCATGAGGGATCCCTGCGTGGCCTCGTGGTAGGCGGTGTCGATCTGGTCAATGGTGGCGTTGGTTGATGGTGGCGACGACGTGGCTGCCTCCGATGAACTCCACACCCCAGTGAGCCTCTATTTCATAAGCAGCAAGTAGATGTTGTGCTTGAAAACGCATATTGCAATTGTCTGTTTCAAGTGTTGCAGATGCTTCAGATGTATGTTGCAATTGTATTATATGGATGTTGCAAAAGTAGATTAAGATGTTGCATATGTTGCAATGGTTGTACACGTACTCCCTCCGTCCCTAAATATCTGTTGTTTTCGCTTCTCGAAAAACAACTTTGACTAAATATATATTAAAAATATTAGTATTTACGGAACATAATTAATATCATTAGATAGATATTCGAATCTAGTTTTTTAATAAATTTATTTGGAGATACAAAATTTGCACATATTTTCTACAAATTAAGCCAAACTTTTGGCATGGAAATTGACGGTGACAGTTGTTTAGGGACGGAGGGTGTATGTTGCAAACGCCTATTCCCAATGTTTCATCTATTTTTTCAGACGTATGTTGCAAGAGTGTTTATCTCTATGTTGCATATGTTTCACACATATGTTGCAAGCGTTTAATTTGGATGTTACATATGTTGCAATGGTTTCAAGTGTTTTTTCAGGTGTTTTTGCAAGCATTTCAAATGCATGTGTTAAGTGTTTCATCTGTCTTCGTACGTATGTTGTAAGTGTTGTATATGGATGTTTCAAAAGTAGATCGGGTGTTGCATCTCCCTCCTTAACTTCTGCTGCCTCACCTTAGTGTCTCCTCTCGTCTTCTGCTGCCTTGCATCCTTCTCAGACTACGGAGAGGACGCGCTCTCCCATTCTCTGGTACATGGGTAAGGAATACCGCTTCGTTGTTCTATTAGTACGAGCAGTAAGAGAGTGCACTCCATTGGTAGGCCGTAACGCTAGCCCACGGTCGGTGAAATCGTTTGGTCAGTGGGATGTGGGTCCGGGCACGTCCTGAGTGCCGGACATCCGGGCACGTCCTGATTTAGCACGCCACGAAAGGAAAAGTGAATATTTAATCTAAATGACCCATGGCGTCAGTGACTCCTTGAGTAGGTGCAGACGTGCAGTGCAGCCATTCCGACATGGAATTGGAGGGAGATAAACCTGCAAATGGGCCTCGGCCCTCGGCCCATGGAATTCCTCAATCATCAAGATCCTTTGATCGACCCTTTGGAATTTTGATTTCGAGCAGATGTTTTATCTGAATCAAGAATCAACCGTCTACAGAGATCCGTTGCTTGCTGGCGCGCAGTGAACATCAGTGACACTTAATTTTCAACACGGGCATGATCGCTAGATCGTTCTCTTTCTGGACTGAAAATCTGAAATAATACTTGACTACTACCAATGATATGATATTCGGACGTAGGAGAGATCATCGGTCCGTTCGCTTGCAGGAATTCTAGAGAAGTTTGGATAGTTTGGAAGAATATTGGAAAAATTTATGAGAAAAAAATACTATTTTGAATAAAAAAAAGCAGATCAAATCGGGTTTAAGGTCACGCGAACAGAGCAATCATACGGATATTTAATTCCTGACACCAGATCCCTGTTCCACTGTTCATCTTACAGTTCTTCCTTGCATCCAGTCCGTCCGTTTCCCCCACAGCCTTAGCAGCCAGCCGTCCGTTCGTTTATTTTATTTATCCGACCACATCAGCCGTCCTCCCCGGAGGCTTCTGGACGCTCGCCGCCGCCGCATCGCCGCCTCCGCTCGTGCCACCGCCGCATCGTCTCCTCCGCG